CGCTTTCAGCTGCTGCGTTCTATGAGCGCCGGTCTTGTCTCCCCCAGCTAGACTGTGAGCGCCCTCACGGCGGGGACCTGCACCCGCACTTCTTCGGCATTCGGCCGACATTTATGTGCTATGTCCCCAGCCCGGTGCTGGCTTCCGTGGGAGACACAGGTGAGAGTCGGGGCGCCGGCTGCCCGAGCCGCGGACCCAGCAGGGAGCCCTGAGCGCGCACTGAGTGCCGCCCGGGAATGCGCCCGCCGAGCTTACAGTCTGGTTTCGGGGAGCACCCGCCCCCAGGCTGACAGCCCCCATGCAGGAAGGTCAGTGTGCAGTGGAGCAGGGAGATCCGGTGGGGGCGAGGACTGGGGCTCTTTCTTCCTTCACTTGGGGAGTTGGAAGCGAGCTGGAGCACTTTCTCCTTGTGGTGGCTAGATCTAGTTCATCCTCATTCTGTCTAGACAGTTGTGGTGCAGATGGTTATGTCAGGGTCCCAGTACCTTTAGGGGCATCACAAGACAGGAGCTGCACCCAACCCAGATGGGCACCGGAATTCACAGGGAGTGCCTTCACAGTCCCAGGCTGCCAGACTGTATGGGAGCCAAGTCACCTGCCTGGGCCATAGCCCTGGCGCCTTGTCCCCTGAGTTCCTTTTTAGTGAGAATCACTGTTGATAGACTCCAAGCCCCTTCCTCCCCAAGCACATAAAGCTTCCTATAATCTTGGTAGAGTGACAATGTCTTTTTGCAGATTTTGGCTATGGAAAAGGGAAATGTACTAAGCAAGGCCCAGCAGGAGCTCACGAGACCCATTTTGGAGGTAGAGTAGCTCAGTGATCCTTTCTTTTTCTTTCCGTCCACCACATAGTGCTAGGCACATGTCTGGCCACGGGTGGTCAATATGACAGGATATAAGGGGTGTACCTGGAGCCCAAAAGAGCTGGTGGGGGTAGGATGCCATCTTGACCCTAGAGAAAGAGAGAGGGTGTGAGGGCAGGGAAACCTAAGACAGGATGTCAGGAAGATGGGGCAGTCCCACCCAAGAAGCACAAAGAGGTAGCAGGGCAGGGATTATAGGAACCCTATATATGAGATTGGCACCTGGAAGAGCTTCAGCTAACAGTAGGTTAGGTGTGGGATAGTGGGGGACAGTGGGTACAGAGGTTGGAGGAAGGATTGAGGCAGAGCAGTTACCAAGTCTTGTAGCACATGAGCTTTGAAGCCCCACACCAGTGCCTGGTTGTGGAGTAGAGGCAGCCTGGCCCATCATAAAGATGCCCTGGGTGTAGCTCATTGACAGCACTTGCCTAGCATGTGTGAAACCCTGGGTTCAATCCCCAGTACCACCGGAAAAAAAGAAAAAAAAAAACAGATTCCCAAGGGGTTCCTGTGGGACTCCAGGAATGAGAAATGGAAAGAATTGAGATCTGTTTATTGATCCCTTTTCTGGCAGTTCTTGTTTACTGGTATCATCTGAGTTACAGAGTACAGAGGATGGCATTCTTGAGATGATGTGGTCATGCTTGGAAGAGAAGACTTGGAGGGTTCCCCTTTAACAGTCTCCCTGATGTCCATTCTTTCAGATGACAAACTGGAAGACCTTGAAGAGGCAAATCCATTCTCCTTTAAAGAGTTTCTGAAAACCAAGAACCTTGGTCTGACGAAAGATGACACGACCAATAGCAGAATTTATCCAAAGGTAAGTCTGAGGAGTTGCCCTGGTCACTTCAGAGGACATCTCTCTATGTTGTGGTGCTTTGGACAAGACATGTGAGTATGTGGGGCAAAGTAAAGCAGCTGCTGCTGCTGCTGCTGCTGAGGAGGGGGCATTGTGGGTTTCATCAGCTATTTGGCCCCTTTGGCAACAGATGGGCCTTTCTTGTCATGTTCCAGGCTGAGCATAGAGAAAGAAAGGTGAGCAGTGGCTTCCAGGTCTCAGTGTTTGCCTCTACTGTTTTTAGGAAGCCTCAAGGCACTCATTGGGACTGGACCACAGCTCTCCCACCCCCCAGACTGTGGGGTATGGCCTGGAATATCAGCAGCCATTTTTTGAAGACCCCACAGGGGCTGGCGACATCGTGGGTGAGGAGGAGGAAGATGAAGACAGTGGGTGGAATGGGGCCTATTTACCATCTGCTGTGGAAAAGACTCACTCCTCCAGGGCCACGGCCAGCACATCACCCTGTGGCACGTACCTTTCCTTTTTTTCCACCCCGTCGGAGCTGGCGGGGCCCGAGTCTCTGCCCCCCTGGACACTGAGTGACACAGATTCACGCATCTCTCTGGCATCTCCAGCAGGAAGTCCTAGTGCAGAGTTTACAACTCACGGGGAGTCTCTGGGAGACAGACACCTGCGGACGCTGCAGATAAGTTATGAAGCAGTAAGTGAGGGGCTGGCACACAAGCACTGTGCAAGAGTCTGAGCAGTATTCTCCTGGAGGAGGACTGGGGCCCTTCTGCTTCTGGGTGGTCTGGCTCTGGCTTCAGGGACAAGACAGTTGGTCGTGTGATAGCCTGCTATAGAACTCCCCTGAGGAGAGCACTCCTCAAATGTGCTGCTGGTTACTAAGAGGTGTTGTGATGACTTAAGTGGTGCGGCCCATCTAGGAACAAACTGGAATAAAGGGCTCAGGGACATCTTGCTGAGTGCTCTTAGTGAAGGGATGTTTAAAAATTATGATCACCTAAAAACATTAAAAGCTGGGGTAGAACTGGAGTCTGTGACAATAGGTCATCTATGTAAGCGTGCTGCAGAATGACTCCAGTTCCCTGGGGCATTTCTATTTATCAAGAAATTCCAGGGCTGAGAGTGTGGCTCAGCATCTGGTATGGGCAGGACCCTCGATTTGATCCCAGTATTATTTAAAAAAAAAAAAAAAAAATTCTTCCAGAGCCCATTGCAGAAGCACATGCCCCTTTTGAGTGAGACACACTTAAGTTTCTAATAAGGATTTTCTTTTTCTACAGCTGAAAGATGAAAATTCTAAGCTAAGAAGAAAGCTGAATGAGGTTCAGAGCTTCTCTGAAACTCAAACAGAAATGTATGTAAGATTTTAGTTAGGAGTCAACTTAAACATCTATCACGAAGGAAAATCACCATTTCTAAGTGATAATGAAATGCCCAGAGTTGAACTGTTTCTGGGTTTTATTGTAAAACTCAAGCACATTTCTTGTACTCTGTGAAAGCTTTGTCAGGGTGAGACCCAAACCAGCCCAGCTTCTCACTGGATGGGCAGAGCTTGGAGCAGCTCCCCAAACCTGTGCAGATGCACTAGGTCACTGCTGCCTCACCTCTGTCTGAGGACATGTTCTAAACACAAGCTCCAAGTGGCTTTTATCCAGCTAATCACATTAAAGTGCTTTTCAAAGTGTTCTCAAAAGTGACCACATGAACTTAATAGCTCGGGTTTTTCCTCTGACAAGGGTAAGGACGCTTGAGCGGAAGCTAGAAGCAAAGATGATCAAGGAAGAGAGTGACTACCATGACCTGGAGTCAGTGGTCCAGCAGGTGGAGCAGAACCTGGAGCTGATGACGGTGCGGAAGGCTTCTGCCTGTGGGATGGGAGGCATCTCCAGAGAAGGCCCAGCTGGACCTGAGGTCAGGCAGATGCTCTCACAGTATTGAGTGTGCAGCTCTCACTCAGGTGGACCAGTGTCCCTTGGCATTGTGCCATGCTCTGCTGGGGAGCAGAAGCAGAGCACAGGTTTTATGGGGCAGGCCTCCACTGTCACTGGGGGGAGAAGGGCTAGGAAGGGTGACAGCAGCTCCCTCTTCCCTTTGTCAGACAAGTTTCTTGGGCTGACTATGTTATCAGTGATGCTTTTTGTGTTTATTTTTTTGGGCAACAGAAACGGGCTGTAAAGGCAGAAAATCACGTCATAAAGCTGAAACAGGAAATAAACTTGCTCCAGGTAATTAAGGAAAAGATCTTAAGTGTTTTCCCCTTTCATTTGTGGAGTCACATGTGAGTGTGAGAAAGATATTGCAGGGCATGGTGGCAAATGCCTGTAGTCCCAGCTACTTTGGACCCTGAGGCAGGAGGATCACAAGTTCAAGGCCAGCCTCATCAACTTGGCAAGTTTAAAGTTTAAAATTTTTTAAAAGAGGCTGGGGTGGTAGAGCGCTTGCCTATCACATGTGAGGCACTAGGTTCGATCCTTTGCACCACATAAAAGATAAATAAATTTTAAAAAGTTTAAAATCAAAAAAAAAATTTTTTAAGGGCTGGGCAGGTGACCCAATGGTGGAGCATTTGCCTAACACGTGCAAGGTCCCTAATTCTATCCCTGGTACTGAAAAAAGTATGAGAGACCCTTTTCTGGGTTCACCCTATTCCCCCCAGCAGGCAATTTCAAAATCGGGTGGCACAGGTTTTCCACTAGGGCCTCAAATAAATGGAGGGCATGCTCCTCCTTGTCCCATTTTTCATGTTTTTAATAATTTGGCATCTAGGGTGGGGCGTGTGCCTGTAAAAAGTCCCCATTTCTTAGGGCTAGATACTGAGCATATCCTGTACTTAAGGGAGAAATGTTGGGGTTTGTCTCCCTTAGGAAATACCCTCAGCAAGGCAAAGCACCTGTTGGAATGAGTGGGCCAGGGCCCACGGACAAGTCCACACCTCTCCACCAAGGGTGACGTGTGTTTTCTGTTGGGATGCCTTTAAGTAGTCTCCACTCAGCCATGAAAGTCCTTAGCAGACTTCCCACCCTTTTTTCCCAGGCACAGGTTTCAAACTTCAAGCGCGAGAATGAAGCCCTGAGGTCAGGCCAGGGTGCCAGCCTGACGGTGGTAAAGCAAAACACTGACGTGGCCTTACAGAATCTCCGTGTTGTCATGAACAGTGCACATGCCTCCATAAAGTAAGTGCTGTGGGCTGGAGGCCCTGAAACTGGTAAGGGGTGAGACTAGAATGGTCACTACCTGTTTGGGTAGTGGCCCAGGCTCTTGGTCTGGGGCTGGACCAGGTTACTCCAGGGAGGGAGGTGTGTTAAGGGGGCACATTAAATCTCCAGGTCATCATATGGGTAGCTGAGCAGTCTTTTTAACCTGCCTTGGAGAAGCGGTCTCCACTTGGGAGGCACAAACATTGTCATGCAAACCCAAGTCCAGCTCCTTAATACTGAGGTTATGGATAAAGGATATGATAGATTCCCTCTTATTATAAAAACTGAATATAGCCAGGCGCAGTGATGCACACCTGTAATCCCAGCAGCTTGGGAGGCGAAGGCAGGAGGATTTTGAGTTCAAAGCCAGCCTCAGCAAAAGCCGGGTGCTAAGCAACTCAGTAAGACCCTATCTAAAATACAAAATAGGGGTGAGATGTGGCACAGTGGTCAAGTGCCCCCCAAGTTCAATCCCTGGTACCAAAAAGAAAAAAAAAAATGCATTTGCAGGATTGCAGGAGGCACTAAATTGTTCTTGGTACAGCAACCCTGCTGGGCAATGTCAGTTGCTGTCATTACTAATAATGATCACAGATGCTCCTTGGCTTACCATGGAACCACATCTCTGTAATCCCACCATTTTGTACATTGACAGTATTGTACATTGAAAATGCATTTAATACCCTTAATCTACCAAACACCAGAGCTTAGCAGCATAGCAGTGTGAAGTCCTGGGTAACTCCCAGGATTGTGTGTGCCTGATGCCTGCTGTTGCTATCCAACTTCCCAAGGGTAACATACCACATGTGGCTGATCTGGGAAAAGATCAAACTCCAAGTTCAGTGCCTGTGGAATACGCATAGCTTCCACACCTTCATAAAGTCAAACTATTATAAGTTGGGAACCAGCTGAACTTGTTTCTCATTGGGCTGATCTCTGCAAGACAGTAGTGGCACCGCACTAGAAGTGCTTACAGGTAATGAAGTCCATTCTCCTTTTGAGCAAAGCATCTCCTCAGTGGATCTGAGGGGGTTTTACTCTGGAACCTCTTTGCTTTAGTTCCACTATTGCTTTTTTGCATGTGTTCAGTTCGGGGGGGGGGGGGAGCACTCTACTACAGCTATACCCCAAGCCCTTTTTTTTTTGGTACCAGGAATTGAACCCAGAGGTGCCTAACTACTGAGCCACATCCCTAGCCCTTTTTTGAGTCTTGATAAATTGTCCAGGTTAACCTTGAATTTGTAATCCTGCCTCACCCTCCTGAGTTGCTGGGATTATAGATGTTTACCATATGTGTGGCTAATTCATTGCTATTGATCAGTTGTAGTTAACAGTCCCCAATATCTATTTCCATTTCAGGCAGCTGGTTTCTGGAGCTGAAACATTGAATTTTGTGGCTGAAATCCTTAAATCTATAGACAGAATTTCCGAAATTAAAGATGAGGAGGAGAAGTCTTAAGGACCTCTGGATGCTTCCAGCTCCGTGTGCCCTGATCAGCAGTGCTTCATCTGAATGTGCAATTGTGCCCCAAACTATGCAGTCTTCACTCAGAATATTTATCATGAGATACTAATTTCATGACCTAAAACAGTGTTATTGGCCACCTGCAATAAGAGCAGCTCTTGTCCATGAGTTGCTTTTGTGGTTTATGTGCAGTCCTTCCTGGTGAAATTCTCACTGTTTTATAGTTTCAGTAACCTATTGGAAGAAATTTTTATAAAATCCAGTGAGTTTTTAAATTACTAAATATGAAAACAAAAGTTCTGTAATAAGTGCTCTTCCATTTTCATCCCAGAACATTGATAAGTTCAGTTGATTATCTTGATTACGTAAGTAGAAAGAACACTAAGAACCACCTAGGAATGAGCAGCTTTAACAGGGACATGTGCCTTTTTGCTGTCACTCAGCGCCTATCAGCCTTTCTGGGATGGTTTCTGTGGTCAGTGGCCCAAGTACAGAGGCACCACTTGGTGGACGCTGCTATTCCTCCTACAGGGACACAAGGTTGCAGACATTTCACACTGTGAAGGTGTCTAAACTTGGGCTTTGAGCCTTCAGCTTTGAAAAGCTATTTTGGCTAGTGATTTTGATACACATTTCAAGTGTGTTTTGTACAGTGAAGCTTAGAGTTCGGTAGTCTAAAGTGTGTGCAGAGCCTCATTGGGTAGGCATGAGGTCTTTGGGCTCCTCATACCTGCTTTACTGTTTGGGAGGGCACAACAGGCACCCTGTGCCTTTTGGGCTGTTTTCCTGGAGATGCTATTTTTTACCTTCCTTTCCCCTCTTGTTCAAACCTACAGGTTTCCTGTTTAAATAAATTCTGAAGTTCACATACATTGTGTTTTCATTCTGACTTGACCAATTTTTTTTTTAATACCTTCATTTTGTTTGTTTAGTTTTTTTGTGTGATGCTGGAGAACCCAGTGCCTCACACAGGCGGGGCAAGTGCCTTACCACTGAGCCACAACCCCAGCCCTTGACCAATTCTTCATGCACAAAAAACACACTGGCTGTCCTCTGATGCTACAGCATGTTTTGCACGTTCTGGTCATTGCTTATGACTTAATAAGCTGGCAGCTCTCCACCCCTCCCCCAGCACATTGTAGGCATGGTATGTGAGCCACATAGCTGTACTTTTTGAGGTTGGACAGATGAGATTCTAGCACTGAGTCATTCCCAGAGCTCATGTGGCGGGATTTTCAGACAAGGCATTGAAAGTGCTAGTCACTGTGGAGTGACTGCTCCAGCCTGCTCTTCCACCCTTCATTGCTGCTGCCGTTGGTGTACAGGGATCAGAGGGACCAGACAGGGCAGTGTAGCAGGACAGTGCTAGAAGGTTCTCCTAGGTGCACAGTAGCTCTAGGAAGCCTCTGAAGGGCTGGGGCTCCTGGGGGAAGCCTGAGTCACAGATCCAACTTGAGGCCCTGCATGACAGTATTTTATGGGGTGGAGGGACAGGATGATGTCCCCTTCACCCACTGGACCCAAAGCAGGGTGGCAGCCCTCAGTTAATGCACCCAACACTTGCTGCAATGTCAACGGGTGAGCTGGGGGTGGATACACAGACGTTTGCATATTTTTCCCTAGGTATGTTTAAAGTGTTCCAAGGCAAAAACTCTGAAGCACAATCTATGGTGACGTTTAATCCGTGCCTCTGGGTTTTGAGCCCTACACAAGCAAGACCTGGTACAGTGCAGGCGATAAAATAGCTCTTACCCAAAGAACCAACAGCTTCCTGCTTCCGACATTCACACTCTCTCGCCAGTCCCAGGCTCCTGGGGGGCCCTCACCAGGCCTCATCTTTTGGTGGCTCTAGCTCTTTGTCACCAAAAGCCCACCTCATTTCACCCGACAGGCTCCCGCCCCGACCGAGTACAGTTTTCCAGCCGGCTCATCTTCCATGCATCAGGTCCTGAAAAGAGGCCCGACCCCGCGCAGGCAGCGCTGGGGTGTCCTCAGTCCACGCTGCCAAGCTCAAAGGCACGAACTGCCGGCCCCGCGGCTCTGCAGGCTGGACGTCTGGAGGCACGAAGTTGTGGACACGTAAAGAGGGGACTCGGGCCGGCGGGAAGCCCTCCATCCGGCCGTCACGCAAACCCCACGGGATACCAGGAACGAGCTCAGCGGGGTACTGCGCACCCCACACTTCCGCCAATCAGCCGCAGCCTTACCGTGGTGCTCCGCGCCGCCGGGGCGGGACTTCCGGTGCGCGGCGCTCCACTTCCGCGACCGCAGGAAGCTTGGTATCTTCTTCGGTCGCTTGGGAGACCGTGCGGCCGTGAAGGCAGGTGAGGCGCAAGCAAGGGGAGGGCGGGCGGCGGGATCTGGGCCGCCCGGCGGAAGTCGCGCTGTCTTCAGGAGCGGACGGCCGAGTCCAGGAGGGGGCGGGGCGGCCCGGCGAGGCCACGTGGGCGCCGAGCGCGCGTCGGCCTGGGACCGGCTGGCCTCCCCGGCCCCTCGCCCCGGCGCAGGGCCGAAGTGTCTCCAAGCCCGTGCTTCTGCGGCTTCCTGGGGTTTGTCAGTCCCGCCCCAAGGGGACTCGTGGCCCCGGGGAGCAGCTGGGGCTGAGTGGGCTGACCAGTGCCCGCCGTCTTCTGGGGTGTCTGTGAGGTTCTACGCTTTGAAGGGAGAGAGGACCAGACAGCTGGGAAGGCCGGTGGCTCCTGACGCAGGAACTTGTGTCCTCGACCTCCTTTCTGCTCGGCCTGAGCAGCGTGGGAGCTAGCGGGATGAGAAGTGGCGCTGTCTGTGCAGCACAAGTTGCCTTTCCCTTTTGGGCCAGGCTTCCAGAAGAACACTGCCTGGCCAGTGTGTGCTGCAGATCTGGTTGGCTTCTCGCTGAGTTGAATTCCAGGTTTAAATGAGGTGCCTTAGCAGAAGCGACTCAGCCAAAGGGCCCCCACTGGCACATACTCTCTTTTACTGCAGGGCAGGACCCTGTCAGTTCTCATCAGGGAGAAGCCGTGCCAAGGGCTGGGAAGGTTTTTCTCTTTGTTTTTGATTCTGGGTGTGTGCTTATGTTTTCTAGAATATTCTCTGCCAGTGTTTTATTCTCCCACCCTTCTCTCTTCCCAGCTTCCTTCTCCCTCCAGACTTTACTCACCAGTGTTCCCTGCACAGAAAAAGTTCCCTGTGCTTCAGCAGATAACTGGTTCAGTGTCAACACTATCACCTGCTATTCCAAGGCTGGAGATAGGGCAGGAAATGGGCAAAGCGTTGCCTCTGGGAGCCTGCTTTCCAGGCCTGTTAATGGCAGTAGCCTAGTTAACCTTGTTTCAGTGACCATTTGTTTAGTGCCTTATGTGCCCAGCCCGGCAGCTCTGGTCACAGGTTCATATTTCACGGGAGCTGAGCATCTGGTCTTAGGCTGCTGGTGACATGGCCCTGCACTTTCTATACTAGGTGACCTTTTTCCTTATGGTTGGACCTAGGAGCAGAAACCATGCAGGTAGTCTGGCCATCCCCTGCCAATACTGCTTCTAGCCTTAGCTGGCAGGGGGACATTGATAGGATGTTGGCCCCTGATAGAGCAAAGAGCAGGAGTTCTTGGGGGTGCAGAAAGTTGCAGCTCTGGGTTTCCCTAGGCTGGGCCTTCCCTCTGGGGAACCCAGGGCAGGATTCTGCCATCCCCAGTAAGTATGTGTCTGAAGAAGGATGGGTCCTGGCACTTTGATGGTTGTTTTGGGGTTTGATTTTTTTGTTTTTTTGTTTGTTTGGGTTTTTTTTGTTTTGTTTTGTTTTGTTTTTGTTGTTGTTGTTGTTTTTTTACCATGGATTTAACTCAGGGGCACTTAACCACTGAGACATATCTCTAGCCCCTGCCCCCCCACCTTTGTGTGTGTGTATTTTACTTAGATACAGGGTCTCACTGAGTTGCTTAGTGCCTCACTAAGTTACTGAGGCTGGCTTTGAACTTGTGATCTTCTTGATTCAGCTTCCTGAGCCGCTGGGATTACAAGTGTTGTTGGTTTTTAACACCTCATAATGTATTATGGAGCAGGCAGAAGTCATGGATGTAGATGCTGAAAGGGAGAAAATAACAAAGGAGATAAAGGAGCTGGAAAGGATTTTGGATCCCAGCACCTCCAACATCCATATGGAGGTTTCAGAATCAAGTCTTGATTCGGATTCCGATGCAGGTAAGCCTAGCCATCCTGGAGTGTGGCTGAAAGCATGTGCACCCTCCAGGTTCTTTTCAGCCTCATGCTACATGACCAGATCCTATTTCCTTCCCAGAATAGCCTCTGCCTTTTCCCCAGCCAGAGAGTTAATCCCAGTCCTTTGTTGCTAACTAGCCCATGGGCCTGCTGGTACCCCGTCTTTGCTCCCCTCTGGCCTTGGGCTCTAGGGCCCTCTGGGTAGGCATGCTGTCCTGGGAAGAGAGGGTGGGCCCAGAGCTGACTGTCGCATAGACATCCAGGATCTCTTCTATGGGCTCTCCCACAGTCCTCTAGAGGGACCACTTTCTGTTCCCATCATTTCCATCATCACCCTCCAGTACAGTGTATTTGTTTCCAACAGATTCACTGCCCAGTGAGGACTTGGAAGCTGTTGACCCCCCAATCCTGGTAACTGCTACTCACCCTTGTTTATTTTGCATTGTAAAATTAGTACATGTTATGAAAACAAAACATCAGAGAGTATTTGTTGTTAAAATTAAAAATTATCCCCAGAAACAGCCACTGTTAAAAGCTTAGTGGCTGTGCCTTCAGCCTTTTTCCTGAGCTGCTGGGATTACAAGTGTTGTTGGTTTTTAACACCTCATAATGTATTGTGGAGCAGGCAGAAGTCATAGATATAGATGCTGAAAGGGAGAAAATAACAAAGGAGATAAAATGCTAACTTTGTTTCTCTACATCATGCACCTGACTGCCCCCTCAGCTTGTCTACTTTGTCTTAGTTTACCAATCTGAATAATGGGATTGCTTGAGCAAAGATGAGCATCTAGAACAGCGCCTAGTAGGTTTGTCAGTTGTTATTAATCATTTTGTGTCTCATTTGGAGTTTTACTTTAGGAAATTATTGCAGTTTGCTTATTTTCTCAGGTTCATAGGTAAAGTCCTCTTGTATGTTTGAGGGATGTATTGGCCCTCCTCAGACAGAGGACACAGTCCTGAGGGCTTTGGACCATTGCCCCCTGGTGGGTGCATTGGTGTCTCCAGCTCTGGGCTGTGATGCTCTGCAGACAATTTCCTCCTCATAACCTGTAGCAGGTAGTAGAGAGAGAAGCAACATGAGCTAGCGTGAAGTTCAGTGTTCACAGGAACCTTTCTTTTAGTAATTGGAAGCTACTTATTTTCTCACAATGGCCCTACTTCAAACAATTGGATCTCCCTTTGTTGTGGATCAGGAATAGTGGTGGGGATTCCCACAGACATGCCCTGCCACTCACGTGAGTCACCTCTTAGGTCCACATTTGGTGATGTTGCACTGGAGTTGTCTCCATGTCCCAGGTGTCCAGTAGCTGGAATGTGGATTTGTGTCGAGGGCTGTGGGGAGGGGAAATACCCCTATATCTTATTTCTTCATTTCCTGTTTCTGGCTCCTAACTAGGAAGAAGAAAGGTGGGGTGAGGCCAGCAATGATGAGGAAGACCCCAAGGATAAAACCCTCCCTGAAGACCCTGAGACTTGTCTACAGCTGAACATGGTCTATCAGGAGGTCATCCAAGAGAAGCTGGCAGAGGTCAGCTTGCTTTTGGCCCAGAACAGGGAGCAACAGGTAGGGTTGCCCATGCATGCTGACCCCCCTGATCCTGAGAGTCTGCACAACGATGCTCCTAGGACAGGGTTTTGGTTGGTCTGCTCCCCAGCCACCTCCCCTGTTTATCCCCA